GACAGCCTTCAACTGAGAAAATAAAGCAGCAGTTTCTAAGATGAAGCAGAGTCCCTTTATTTGGGAGATGATATGATACGGCTGCCTGGGGGAGATCTAGTGCCCAGCAGCTGCTTCCCCAGCCCTAGGCACGGAGAGTATCACCCAGCCTCTTTGTACAGTGGGAAGGGAAAAGCCTGCAGCACCTGAACAGAAACAAGTGATGTCACCACCACTTAATTAGTCCTCCTTATTTTTTCTCAATACCTGAAATTTCCTGGAAACTACGTGAGCAAAAGCGCAGCAGATGGGTTGGAAACCTTCCTGAGTGTGAAGCAGATGTGGGCGCGTCCCATCCTGCCTTCCAAACCCTTCTATAAATTCTTTGCAAGTGACGTCTATTTTGGGGGAAGTGATCTAGATGGCAGGGTTTTAGCTACTTGCTGTTTCACCCAGAAATCAAAAAGAAGGAAGGAGGGAAGGGGGTTGGCAGGAGGAGGGGGATGAAGATGGCTCTGGGCAGGCACATAAAGGAATGAAAGGAGTAAGAGAATATGGAAATGTGACACTAGAAGGGTGGATGAGCACGTAAAGAAGGAATAAGTGAGAAAGAAGGAAAAAGTAGGGCTGGGGTGGAGCTGGGGAAGGCTGCAGAGCTACCCCCAACCCTCCCCCAAACCAGGGTCCACAAAGAGCCACTGTCTGGGGTGAAATTCTCCCGTCCTCAGCCACCATGCCCCGATTCCAGCACAGGCAGGGTGGCTACAGCGCTTCCATCAGTGCCCATCCACCGTCGCCCAGGTTTAGGGAGGGTCGGACAAGGAGAGCAATGGCAAACCACATGCGTGCCCAAATCAGCATGCAGCCCTGTGGTCACTGGCGTGTCCCTGGCTGTCCTACCACAGCACTGGTCTGGGCATGCCTCCAGCCCAGCCCAGCACCTTCCCTTCTCCACCGGGCACTGCAGAGATGGGCTGAGAAACAGAGCTGAACTACGGCGTCTCTGCAATCAAAGTCCCTCACCACAAATCCAGCTCTGGGCAGCATTGCTGGCCTGTGACCTCATATAATCAACCTATCTACAGCCTACGCCACTGAACAGGTAAATGCCTCTCCTGTCACAGGATAAGGGCCAGCAGCCAAATTTAACAAAAACAAAACAAGCGTTTAACAAAATAAACCCTCTTCTTACTTTTTTTTAAACCTGAAGTGAACTCAGTGGACTGAATTGGCTCTCTGGAACTAGGAAGCTGCAGCTGCTCTGCCTTGCCCTACCTGCGGCCACAATATCAGCCATTCCCCTGCGATGTGTCATTTGGTTTAACACACACAGTTCCCACTCCAGACGCTCCTCGCGTGCCTGATGAGGCTTAAATAAGTCCTGCTGACCCACTCATTACCTCCGCAGCTCTCTGCATCCCTCAGCCCTGTCTCTGTCTTGCTTAACCTTAATAATTCGGATTCCTTGGGGCAAATGCTGATTCGCTGTTTATGCTTCATACACTACCCATACCTAATAAACAGCAATTACTTATGGAACCTTGATAAATAAATTATTCTACTATGCGTATACATACTGAGCCCGTAACCCTAAAATGTGATTTTCCAGATGGCCAGGATAAATCTCCATGACTCAAGGGACACGTGAAAAGACTCTCTAGGTTTGTCTGCAAAGATTTAAGCATCCCCAAGCCACCCTGTGCCCATCCCCAAACATCAACCTATGAAACAACCACACTGTAAACTCAAAGCAACACATTGCCTTGCTCCAGACATATCCAGAATGGCAGACCCTGGGACCACTCAGCATCTTTGGATGGTGACGACTCCATCCAAACAGAGCAGGGGACAAGCTAGACCAGGCTGCAAGGACACAGGCAGCAACATTACGGCAGTAGAAGGACACAGCAGGTTAGCTGGAGGTGACTGGACCCTTCATCGCATCCTCCAGAGCCTTCTCCACCTTGTACCACCCTCCTCTTGTCCCCATCCTTTTTTTAGCTTGTTCTGCTGTGTAGCCAAGAAAGCTAGCACCAAATCTTAAAGCCCAATTTTAGAGACCAGCCCATTCCAAATTGAACCAAATACCTGGCCGAGGAGGAGCATCGAGAGCATCAGCAGGAAAGGAAGAAACACCCTGACTCAGCACTGCCTCTCCCATAGGGCAGGGAAGACAACAAGGGAGAGAAACATGTAGCAAGGCTTTGGCTGCCAATGTGTAAAGCAGCCCTCCTTTCTTCATCCTTGAAAAGACAGCATGGGGTGACAGGTTTCTGCACTAAGCGCACCTACAATACCAAAGAGCAGAATCATTTCAGTATCAGGCCGTTGGGCATTGCCATGGAGCAATGCCCTGGCTAGACTGAAATTAGGGTCTCCCTAGGACCCAGGACCACGAGCAGTAGTGTGCCCCCCTTAACAGGGCAAGCTTGGATCCCCACCTCACCCATCTGCCTAGCAGGTGTGACAACAGGAGCTTCAGCCTTGGCACCTAGAAAGGAGAGCTTAGAAAGCGGGTTACTCCTGTCTATGCAAGCTCTTCCCACACATCCTCATATCACCTGCCAGCAGAGATGACCACTTGCAAACACTTTCCTTCGAGGGTTATTGCAAATTATACCCATCCTTCTGGAAGGAAGTAGAACTTTGAAAAGCCTTGCTCATCTCAGAGTAGAGTGGCCCCAATGCTCCCACTGAAAAATGGCTTTCCACCCTGCCTTTCCCAAACATTAAAGGCAGCTTTAATCCTAAGCCATCATCCTTCTGCATCTATCTGTGGCAGAATGATTTGGCTCCTGCCTCTAGCATCTAACAGAGAGGATATGGGATATAGTACACGATGCTATGCAGGAACTGGGACTCAAAAGGCATCAAGCAACATGTTACAATTAGATCTGATCACCCGAAGAGTTTTTTTGTTTTGTGCTGTTCTGCACTGGGAGATGCTATTTCAGCCAGACTGGATATCCTCACAGGCTGGATCCAGTGTTAGAAACTTCATTTCAAGGAAAAAAAAAAAAAGAGGGGAGAGAAAGAATTGATACTTAAAGGAGTTAATGCTCAGGCAAATGTGGTTGCCGATGCAATGACCAGCAGTGCTTTCTCTGCAACAGTACTTCCTGAGATCTTGCAAAACATAATCGTGCAACATCCATCTAGCTCAGTGCAGAACACTGCTCCTAGCCGCTATTAAATTGAACTAGCCTAATGTCATCTCTATCTCCTTCCCTCAGAGGGATCATTCCTAGGGAGCCATCAAAACTGCCCTCAGTACGAGATGAAGCAAAAAACCTGCCAGGTGACCCCATGACCTGATGCTAATCGGGAACACTGATGTGCCTGCAACCGCAAAGCCACAAACCGGCAGCCCACGATGAGATAGATAATCTCACCTCACCTTGCAAGAGCCATGAGCTTTGTCATCTCCCAGCCATAAATTTTGTTTTAGTCCTTAAAATAAACCATCAGGACTAAACTGAAAAGTCCTGACAAGGATCCGTTGAGTGAGGCAGTTGGTATTCAAATGGATCATCAGGGGAAACATTTTCCCTGGAAAGGGTGTTTTGGCAAGATGGACATGCCACGTGAAAGCCCACTGTTTGTGGCAAAATATTGAAACTACACTTGAAGAAAAGGTTAACCCTACTGGAATGGGTCACCTTCCTTCTGAAGTCCTTCCTAAGACAAAAACTACTACATCATCAGATATGTTTCATGTTGAAGCAGGTCTGTGACAGATCCAAGCTTTCTTTTGCCTCACTTGGCAGGGAAATTCCCAGCTTGTCTTCCAACATGGGGCAGAACCAAAACAGCAGCTTTCCCACAAAATGGAAATTCCAAATTTTGGCCAGAAACGACCATCCCCTTTCTTGAGAAGACCACAATGCCAATAGACAAAAAGAGGCAGAAACGGGTGTTGTTCTGTCCTGATTTTTCACATGAGAAACTGAGTTAAAGCAGGAAAATACTTTCAAGAGAGCTTTGTCCAACATTGATTTATACCTAGGTCCAAACAGGTATTTAAGGGCGTGCCACCTTAGCTGCCTAGAATTCATTAAAAGACAGTGGTTTTTGGTGTCTCCAGCGCCAGCTTTTAAAGGGCTTTCAAGGAGCGGGAACACAGCAGCCAGCAGCCAAAGATGGACTTGGGCACTTTTAAGATCCAACTCTGTGTCTAGAGGTTTTGAAGGTCTCTGTTGTTGCCAGACTAGATGACCGAATAACCTCAGGACTCTTTGTCCACACCCAGGGGTCTCAAAATGAGACCTATCACCCCTAAAACACTAAGAGCACCAGAAGCTTCTGTGATGTGCCCATGTGGTCAAAGGAAGACCATGAGCACCTCTAATGATGATGAGCTTGAGATGTGTTTCCAAACTCCTACCTTTAGCCAATTCAGGCTCTTTCTTTATGATTTTAAACACACACCCCCCTAAAAAAAAAAAATTTAAAAAAAAATCACAATTCCTTCCTGCAGATTCTGGCTAGAAACCAGTCAGGGGCTGAACCCAGGCTCCATGCGCCAAGCACTAGTGCAGCAGCTGTGCTCAGAGCTGTCCTCCCCAAGCCTGCTGCAACCCAGCACCTTTGATTCCTTTCTTCACCATTTAAGGATGAGGAAAGCAGCCGCTTGGGGCCCAGCGAATTACCTGTGAGTGATTTGTTTTTGCTGCGAGTGCCTATGCCCTCACCACACAAACAAGCTCCTGAAGAAAGGAGGGTACAGACAGAGGAGGGAAAAAGAAAAAAAAAAAAAATAAAAAGCCAACAGGTTGATCTGGATTACATCAACGGTTACACCCTCCTCCGTTTAATGAACATAGGAGAACAGGTGCTTGTAATTCATTAGCCAACCCACGAGCTGAGGAGACAGGAATTAAGCCGACCAAACTCCTCAGTGTGCCACTACTCTCCTCTCCTTTGAGGCAGCAGCAGCAAGAAAACTTCATCTCTTTTTTTTTTTTCTTTTTTCCTTCCCCTTTCCCTCCCCTCCCCTTGAGCTGCAGAGCCGCAAGCTGAGCATGACTAACCCTTGCAAAGCCTTCACCAGTGGCTCCCTCTCCTCTTGGGAGGTGTCAGGGAAGATGAGCAGAGGAAAAGCAGCCAGCACGTCCCCGGATCGCCTGGGCCGCTGCAGTCCCAACGGGTTGGCCAGCAATGGCCACAGCTCTCTCAGCCTCCACGGAGATGGCGGATACCGGTGCTCCTCTTATCCCTCCTTCTCCATCGACAGGAGACTCCTGGCCCCCGTGCACCTCGATATCGACTCAGACTTCCAAGCCGTGCGGCAGCAGGAAAAAGAGGACATCAAGTTGCTCAACAACCAGTTTGTGACCCTAATTGAGAAGGTAAGGTGAGCTACTGAGGACCACGGTACAGCATGGGGACAAGGATGGTGGCAGGGGAGCAGACACTAACCAGTCTCTCAGGAGACTTATCAAGGCCTTCAGCTAACCATTGCCAGGCTCTGAATATTAGGCTAATTACCCAATTAGTTATTCCTTCAGTGCTATCTGTTTCAACAAAGGCTTGCAGTGTCTCTAGGTGAAGCCGGGCCATATCTTTGGTCAGAGGCATCAGGCAGCCCGTGCCTCTCCTTTGCTGCGCCTGTCACCCCGTGGGACCCTGCTCTGCCTGAGCAGCAAAGGCATGGCCACGGAGGCATGGTGTCGGATAGAGCAGGCCTCGGCTCCTGTAGTGGACAAACAGCCATGGCCAGTGATGCTGATTAAGGCAGCAGTTCAAATTCTTCTCCAGCTGCTAAAGAGAGCTGGAAATTCACCTCCGTGCCAGCGTGGTGGGCAAGGGAGACCTCCCACCCACCTCCCTCCTCTGTGGTTTTTATTGCGAGGGGTTGCGTGCTTAGCCAAGAAAGTGTTGCTTTCATCTCTTAAGATCCATGAGAAGGCAGAAGGTTTTCTCAAAGGAAAACAACTCATCCAGCCGAGGCAGGTTTCTGCAAAGCCCTGGTGCTCTGTAAACAGATGGTAATCTCCTAGGAGGATTGCTTCACTGCAGTCTACAATACAGGCACTCAATGCCAAGCTACTATGGCTTGGGATTTATTTTGTTTTGTTTTAGCTCTACCTCTAAGAGGACCTGTATTCACACTGGGAAGGAGAAGGGCAGGGAAACCATCTCCCATAGCATCTATCCAAACTGAATAGCTGTGAACCAGCCACACCTGTATATGCAAACAGGCATGTGGCCGTACCAGGGGGCTGACCCTGGCTGGAGGGGCATGGCAGCTTCCATGTCTGTGCTTTTCCAAGCACCGGTCTTCGCAATGTGCATTTGGAGAACCCCTGGTCTGGAAGTCACCCAGGTGGGTTGTGTTGCATGTGCTGCAGGACTAGTCCTTTGACTATCCCGATCGAAAGGTCAGGGTTTGTGTGGAGGTTGGCCCTGCTCAGAAATCAGACCTCAGCAGAAAGGATGGGGGTAGGGGAGATGGGACAAGACCATGCAGTGACGATATGTACGTGAGCCAGACCACGTGCACTAGCCTGTTCCGTGCAAAGAGGGATGGAATAAGTAAGAAAGCCTCCAGGTTTCCTGATAAACCCAATCTGGTGGCCTGCTGATAAGTGCGCATTACAGGCTTGATGAACAGAAGATACAAACACCCCACCTTAGCTGGGTGGTTTTGACTTTAGTGCTGGCAGCTCCTGCATTGAGCTTTGAAGGTTGTAGCTTCAAGTGGTACATCAAGTGGCAAACTTCAGCCATCTGCCTCAGGCCCTCATTCCAGAGGAAAGTAATGACACTGACTTGTCAAAGAGAACTTGTCTTTTTAATCAGGAATTCAGATGGTCTCAAGCCTGAGCGGCTAATTCCTCAGATAATTGACTGCACTAACTTTAGGAGTTTGCTGCTGATGGTTTTCCAGCAGGCTGTTCCAGACCTGCTAGTATTTATTTTCCATCCAGATATGTCCAGGTGGAAAACAGGGAAGAGCCAAGTCATGGAGCCCCTGGTTGAAGCCCTAGCTTTAGCCTGAGCAGCACAGAGGTAGAGGCCTCTGAGGACCAAGCTTTGGTCACTTCTTCTGTGTTCAGGCATGATTTTCCAGGAAATGAGGCCAGATCTAGGTGATTCTTCTGCTGCAAAGCTCATGTTAAAACACTTTGCAAGGAAGAATTTCTGCTAAGAGGGATGGTGTATAAGCCAAGATGTAAGGGGTTCAGCCCAATGGATGGGGATGGTTTGGGAACAGGAAAGAAACTGAGTTGTTTGGGGAAAGGAGAAAAAGAGCAGCTAAGGATTAGGAGCAAGGTCAGGAACTGAGACTTGATTTGACACTCAAAGATGGACTTAGAACAACAGCCAACACATTCAGTCATTTACTATCCCAGCAGCAAACAGGGAAACTGCCTTAAAATGAGAGGCTGTTCCTACAGACAATCCCACAGGCTCACCCCAGCCCCGCTGACCCCAGCCCTGCAGGGAGAGGCTCTATCACGCTCTCTGAGATGCCTCAGATGGCGAGAACAAATGGCCCAATTGGCTTCTGGTAGCCCCAGAGGCCACTTACTTGTGCCACTTGCAATGCCCCTTTCTGGCTCTGCTGCAGCATCATCCTCCGGTTCTCAGCCTCACGCATGCACATGCACACACACACACAGTGTGCCACTGATTTTGTGCCAGGACAAAGCAGCGAGTCAGTAGACTGGACTACCGACGGGATGTCTATGGCCATGTGTTAAGATATCAGGAAGAAAGGATTAGGTCTCTAACAGTGATACCTGGAAGATCCCAACACTCACATCCCTTCTGCTGAAAACTGACTGTGAGCGTTGGAATGCTTCTGCTTTGCTTGGCTGCTCTCTGTTCCTGCTTCTCTCTCTCTGTTCAGACAAGAAGTGTTTTGGGAAAGATGCTGTCTCTCACCACGTGCACCTGTGCAGCAGTCAGCAGTTGGGAACTCTGCCTTTTCAATACACTGATGCTGCTTCGGGCCACAGAAAGTCAAAGTCAAGGCTGAAGGCCAAGCAGAAGGTCAAGGCCTGATAGCATCTGCACCCCGCTGCTCACACCACACAGGGCATAGTATCAGCGCTGAATCATCTCCATGACAGAGTGGAGGACACTGTTGGAAGCAACTGACAAATCACCAGCCAAAACATGACTGAAGGAGTTCGGTTTTGTTCCGAGAGCAATAAGAGAGGTAGCAATTAGATATTAATTTAAGTTAGCCAAGAGCTTTGAAGATGAAAACTGTTAAACACCGAGCATTACTGTTAAGATTGTCAATATTAGGAAAGAAGAGTGCCAGACTCATCAAACGGCAGGTGGATGAAAATGCAGTGTATCCTCTCTCAAGCAGACAGGCGCACGCACACATAGACCTCACGTGGAGTCTGTAATTATTTTGCTTATTCTCTAGAGTTCCCATAGGCCTTGTCTATGTTACTTTGCAATACAAACCAGGACTCTGATTCATTACTCAAACTTCACCATGGTGTAATCCCACTGATTTGAGAGGAGTTATCTTTGTGCCACTCCGAGGTAGTAAATCTGACTTTCATTCACCCTGGACATCTGTGCACGACCTGTGGTGGATTTTCAGCCTTTGCTTCAATATGTTCACAGGCAAAGGGGACTAGCATTGAACAGTTCTTATTTTTCAGTGACTTAATAAAAGATGCTCATTCACTTTGATGTTCTATCAAACATGAACATGTTCTATCAAGAAATTAGTTAGTAGGTAATGTGTAAAACCTCTAAAAGTCCCTATAACCCTCTATCCTCAGGCCTAATTTTCAGGGCATTTCTTGTTCTTACCTGGAAACCTCCGCTGATTCCAGCAGCTTCTCACTACTCTGAAGGTCTCCAGGTCAATGTCTCCTGCCCTGCCAGGAGCAGTCAGCTTTGATTTTGGCTGTCAGTGTTACTAATATCTCGGAAACCTCTTCTGTAGGTCCAGTGCTTGGAGCAACAGAACAAGATCCTGACGACAAGGTGGAACTTCCTGAAGGATCAAGACAATTCCCACTCCGAGTTGGACATCAAGGCCATCTACGATCAGTACATGAGCAAAATGAATCAAGAGATGAAGGCGCTCAACTACGAGCAGGAAAATCTTGAGTTGGAGCTGACAAAGGTCCTGAGCACCATGGATAACTTTCGAAGCAAGTAGGTGTCTAGCCTAGCTGGGTATTACAAGGGGGAAGGTATCGGTTCAGCTGTGTGCATAAAGAGTAGTGTGGGATTGATTTAATACAGAAAGCCTGTTATTCCCAGGAACAAATTTCTAGTTTGGTGTGCACAGAACTGTGTATTTGAGAAGTTAGCACCCTGGCCTTTTCCTGATTAACTAGAGATGAAAGGAAACCCATAAAAAGTGAAATACCAAAGAGTGCAGGGCATCTGAGAAATGCCTCAGGCTAGAGAACAGCTCTGGGGAACAGTATTATCAGGAATGACAGCCACTAAAACAGAGAAATATTTATTCTCCATGCTATTGCCACAAACCAGAACTTTCTCCCCAAACCATTTTATGGATCTAGGCTGCTTCATACTAACAAACATCCCTTCCTTTCCCCCTTCACCCCACAACATTCAATGCAAAATTCTCCTTTGACCAAAAAATCAGACTTTTACCCAGAATACCTCTTGACATAAAATACTGAGGCAGCTGAAACTTTAAGGAAGGACCAGCTGCCACGTGCTTATTGCTGCTTTTGCCAAGAGCTTTGAGATCTTCAGATAAGAGCATCTGAGATGTGCCATGGCTTATTCAAGAAGACAATGCTTTTCTTATTATCGGTGTCATTTGCATACCACAGATGAATCCACAATTAGATACTTTCCCTTACAGTTACACCCATCTGCCTACACAAGATCTCTGGAGTCTTCCATGCTGATTTGTAGCAAAGCGCCATGTATGGGCCCTGTCAAAACAGAACAGCGATGCTAAGGGACTACCCTTCCGCTGGCACTGATAGACATCACTGTAGTAATAGCCCAAACCTGTTCCTGAGGTACGAAGTGATGCATAAATAATAACAGTGCCCTCTCCGGGGAGTTTAGCCCAAGGATCTTAAAGCTCTTTGCAGCCTTTGATTAAACCAGCCACTCAATGTATCTGCAAATTAGGGGAAGGACCGATACCTCCACTTTACGGACATATTAACGGAGATACAGCAGTTAAATGTCTTACTCCAGCTCCCAGCACAAGCTGGTGGCAGAGCAGGAATAGGAACTAGGAGTTTGGTTCTTGACCTTATGCTGAAATCATTATGCTCAGCATCCTTCAAGAAGTGACATACTGATACCCAGGTGCCCAGAAATACCTAAATTCCTTGCGGTGTCTGTCTGCTCTTTGTTTGGATGCTGGTTTCGCTACAAGACTTAGGCTGACTGATGCTTGCTTTGCTGACAGGTAGAAACCCTGAGCTCAGATCAAAGCCACAATACGGATTATGCCATTTACTCTCTGTCCTAAAAAGGTTAAAGCCTGTCATCCCTCTCTAGAGCACTTGGTCTTCCTTGCACTTCCCCAAGGAAGTAACTGCTCTATGGCCCTGCAGTTATAAAAGATACTTCCTGGTTTATTCCCTGACAGTCAGGAAAACCCAAGTAGGAAAATGGCTGGGCTGGTGGAGAAATGTCAGATCAGTCAACCATATCTGCTCTCACAGTTTGTACTCATATTTGTATTCAGTAATTGTCTCATTAATTGCCTGTGCCTGGCACTTCATTTATTTTTCAGCCTGATTACTTAAGGATTTGTGCTTACACAAACATGCTATCTGTGTGCTTCCCCCTACTGTTTGATTTTCTTGGGCAGTTACTACCTAGTTGGACAATGGGATAAGATATGATAGGGATGCTACATCCCTCAAAATTAAAAAAAGAGACTGACTAGAGGAACAGGACCCACCCCACACCCAACACCCACAGAAGATAAGGATGCAGCATATGCACATGTGCAGTATTAGACAGCAGAGAATCCACAATGGGCACCAGCTTACAACTAGCCCAACTGTCGGTCTTGAGAAGAGTTCCCGTTTTGTGGGACTACACAGCCATGGGAAAACAGCGTTCAGAAATTACACTGCTCCTCAAAGCACTTCTCCCTCATTTGCGGAGCCTTCCCCTTCCGCTTTCTCCCATTTGTGAGCTGCAAGGCACAAGCCCTGCCAGGGGTGACCTATGCAACAAAACCCACCCTGTCATTGGGGACTGTTAACACCCAAAGCCAGTGCAGGTGGATTTCTGTGACAGTGACAATGCACTGTGCTGCTCCCAGCAGTTAGTGATTCACAGGGAGAGGACTGCTGCTTCTGCTGAGCTTTCTCCAGGCAGCAGTCCAACCCCATCCTAACCCACACTGGCTCTGTTGAGTCCTGCACACTTCCTTCGAGAAGGCTGCCTCAGCCCAGTTGTTTTTCTGGAGCAAATGGTCTGTCTAAACCATGCAAATTTTGGAGACTTCCAACTCCTCTGGAGGCTTCTTTTCCCAAGGGAATTTTTGGGGGGGAGGAAAAGCTAATAACTTCACTGGCAAATTTAACTGGTTATGTTCTCATCCAAGCTGTGGCACTCCAGATGAAACATGCCAGGCACAGGGTGATGACCCAAGCAGGCTGCTGCCCAACAGATCACTTAAGATGTGAAATCTACCTGTCAGTGCCCCTCTGCAAGGCCCTAATTTGTCTGTTTTCTCTGTCCAGGGACTGCTTTCCAAAACCATACAGGAGATTTAACTAGCTGAGATACTTGTGCCTCCTTCTCAAATTAGGTTGTCATTAACCAGCAATTCCAAACGCAGAGAAGAATGGAGAGGGGATAGGGAAGCTGGTTGGAGGCTGGCACAGCGTCTCAAACCCTGCTTCTTTAGGAAGTCAAGCTAAAAATCAAATACCGAAACGTACCTGAATAGGGATAACTGCCCAGAGGTGCACATCTGTACAGGTGTTTGCTTCAGCTCCCCACATGTGTGATTTGCACATGCAAAGACCCCTTTGAATGAGAGGGCTGGGAATTTTTGCCTATGCTGACCTACTTTGGTGTGGCACTGGGTAGATACTGCAGGAAAATATGGGGCATACAGCCCTTAGGGGATCCATTTCCGAGATCCAGGGATTGTATTAGTCAAATCTTGCCACCTGAATATTAGGCAGTCAACACCCCTCTACCTTCAACCTCTGCAGTCGGTTTTCAGCTACTTCCTGCCCCATTTCCTTGCTCCACAAGAGGAAGACTGACTTAATTTTATGTCACCAGGCTCAGGTCCATCCCACCACTATATCTTCACCCTAAAGTAGTCTTGAAGGCACATCCTGAGAGGAACATAGGCCTGCCTCGGATTTGGTTCACCTCTGATTTTGCTTCACTGTCTATGGAAGGAGCCCAAGGCAACCAGACGCCCGTCTCAAGCGTGTCTTAAGTGCATGAATTGAGATGGGATGGATTTATGCCTTAATGCATGACTGCTTGAGGATTATCTCTAAGATGATAAATGCTGTAATGTGTTTGTGGAATGCTCCATCCACATGTGAGTCACCTCCCGGCCGCCAGGTCCCTCCAGAGCCGTGCAGTGAGCATGTTTGGCTGGCTGGGCCTGCTCTCTTTCACTCCAGTGTTGTTTGTTCAATATGCAAGATTATGTCAGCGCCCGGCAATGTGTGAAGCTGCTTCAGCAGGCTGGGACAGACTGGGATTGGGCTGAGATGCAGTGAGGATGAAGGAAGAGTGGCAGGCTGTAATTAAGCTCAGTACATAGTTGCTGGCAGCAAGGCTAACATTCCAGCTAAAGAGCAGAGAAACCAGACAGGTAAATCTCGTTAGCCACGCTAACTGCCCTTACAAAAGCAGGCAAGGAGAGGGCAATTTTAACACCATGGGGGTACTCAAGAGGAATCTTAGAAGTGCCTAAATGTAGAGTCTGTGACTGTCAGATCCCCTCCATGCCCTCACTAACCCCTCTGTCAAGGAAGCAACAGCTCCACAGAGCTGTTTTTGATATTTCAGGTCAGCTCCTGAGCATGACTTACCTCCTTCCCCTGCAATGTGATCCCCTGTGCTGTGTTCCCAATTCGTCCTCCTCTTTCTGCTCCTAGGCACAGCTCCTCTTTCTCCTAAAGGTTTGTACAACAGCAGGGAAGGCTCTTGAGAGTAACTGCAGTGATGATGCACCAGACCACCAAACAATAGAATATGGCTGTCATTCCTGATTTTATCATCATCAGTCTGTTAGGAGATGCCATTTTACCTCATTCCCAAAGGTCTCAGCCTTCCCCATATCAACTTGGTGACATCTATAAGTAGCAATGAAAGGTTTAATTCACAGCCTGGAAATGCTATGCGCACATTAGGCTAAGAGGAGCCTGAGGTATCATGGAAGAGCAGGGAAGCCGCGACCTTGCTGACAGCGTAACCTGCTCTGGTCTCAGCAGAAGAGCCAACACTCCCAAAGTGTGTCCAGCAGTGCAGTGGGAGATGCCAAACATCCATCACATAATGCTCCTGCATGGCAAACAAACCAACCTCTGCTGGTCACACACCAGGCCCAAAGGAGACCCTGTGGCTTCCTGGTCAGACACCTGCTTTTAGCAACACCAGGGCTAGCCACATGCTCATCCGAAGTGCCAACAAGGGTTGGTGTGTTCCCTAAACTACTCTCGTGTCTGCTGCTGGCCATCAAGAAATGCATTTGCCCCTGGACTAAGTCTTTGCTATCCTGGTCCTGCCTTATCAAACCTGTTTTTAAACACCTGCGGGGCTGGTTCCTCTGCCGGATATTTAGCCATTAGGACTCCACCCTATCCCGTCCGGTTTTTGTTACCTTCTGCTCTGTGGGCACTGTTTTCCATGAATTGCTTTGCCAGGTCCTGTGTTACTTCACAAATTGTGCTACATTTAGGATAAATTATGACACTAGTCCAGTATTCTCAGAATTTTCACAAGTCAAAGTTTTCTCCCTTGAGAAGACTCTCAGACTCCGGAAATTAAATGAAGAGGATACCTGAAAGAAACAGAAGAGGAAGGCTTAGGGTGAAAATTTAGGAGTCTTTGGGCATGCAACTGGGTTTCGCAGAGAGTAATTCACCACACCTCACTTCTCCATGCCTACTCTCTCTTTCTGTGGCAAATGTGAGGTAACCTGAGGTTGCTTAGCCCTCAAATTAAATAGAATTAAAGATACCTCCTCTCTACTCTGGAGTTCTTCAGACTTAAGGTGCTCATGGTGTTACTACAGAGCAGCTGGCATGTGGCAGCTTGTTATCCTCTCTCTTGTCCAAGATGCCCACACCTAGGAGATATCTCTCCTTGCTGTCTAGCATATGTCAAGGAGGTGGGACATCACAGTAAAAGCAGAAAGTTTCAAACCCGACGCTTTTTGGGGCCAGAAAGACAACCTTAAGCACCCCAGAGGCTTTCACTATGTACAATTTCTTACTGCTTTTTCCACTCTCCTTAGATACGAGGATGAAATTCGCCTCTGTAGCGGCATGGAATACACCTTCACAGAGCTCAAAAAGGTCAGTGGCAAGAGAAGCTTTTTATTGGGACAGGCGCTACACCGGCTCTGCGTAGTCACAGAAGAGCCTGGAGAGGCAAGATGGTCCAGGCTCAGCTAAGATGGTCCAGACGGCTAGCTCTGGACCGAGTCCTTGTACCACAGATGTTTTGTGGGGTAATAAGGTCTTGAGGAGGACAGTAGAGTGGTGAACACCATCACCATCACCATTTCAATAGGAAAAGTACAAGTGAGTCTGGGCCACTTGTGGTTACAGAAAAGCCCCACGGCTCTTGGCGGAGCGCTTGGGGGTCAGACCATGCCTGCACCCAACCACATTGCAATTACACTGGCCAGACCTGGCCTGGAGGGGTCTGCACCCCAGGACCCTCTGAGACACCACCTCTCCTCCCTGGCATGTATTCTCTCAGATTGACATCATAGGTTGGGAAAGGCTGGAAATTGATAAATGTGTTTGCTTTTGTTTCCTGTCACACGGCCACACCCTGTTTAAATGTCCCAACCCTGACCTAGCTGCATTTGAATATCAGCTGAAATGGGAGGCTTTGTGCACAGCCTTTACATTAAAAAAAAAAATAAAAAAAGTCCAAGATGCAGGAATGCAGGGTACTATTAGACAGAGGAAACGTTCTCCACAAATGATCATTATGGCTAATTGCATGTTTTCCCTGACACACTCATCAGCCAGTAAGGGCAGTTCTGGTGACTTTTGTGGATGGCATCAGAGTTTTCAATAACCCATGCTTTTTGTGGTGAACAAAAGATGAGTAGGTATGGACCAGCCCTGCCTGTTTCCTTCTCCACCCTACCTCATTTGAGACTTCCACCAAAGCGCTCGCTCAAAAAAATAAAAAAAAAAAAAAACTGCAGAGGAAAAAGGTCCACAAAGGAACCTCCCTACTTGTAGAGCAGTTTCACAAGTACCTGCCAATAAATAGCAAGCAGGGCACTTGCTGGAGGAGCGGTGGCAGGGGGAAAGACTTCTTGCTACAAACTCAAAGACAAACTATTGATTAATACACTTTCCATCTCCTGTAGGATTTAGATGTGAGCTCCTTGCATAGAACTGAGCTGGAGGCAAAACTCAACGGGCTCCAAGAGCTGATGGATTTGAAAAAAACCATCTATGAGCAGGTAAAAATGCATTTGGGAGAGTGGCCCGGGAACACACAAGCTACCATGCAAAAAAGTGACATTTTTGTGGACAGTTCCACTACAGGGAGGGTATTGTTCCAGATTTACACCAAAATGAGATCTTGTCCAGGGGAGTTGCATGGTGTTGCAGACAACTGTTAGATGGCTTAAGGCAGGGTCTCTTGAGCTAATCCCCTTCCCTTAATTAAACCAGCTCCATTTTAAATTTGATGTGGATGTTCCTTCTGCCCCACAGCTACTGCAGGGAGGCTGGTCCAGCAGGCCCCCCCCTAACAGTCCAGAACCCCCATCTAACTCCTGAGCTGGCTGGTTTTGGGCTCAGCTCTTAACCCCCACTGATAGTGTTTGCCTTGAGACCAAGTTCCCCAGGTCATGAGTGAGCTGAATATTATTCTATTCAGATTCAGAGGAGGGGCTCAACAAGAGACAAACTGTGGTGAACCTGGGTGAGGTGCTGGATGCTCTTTAACACAATCCAACATACTCCATTTCCACTTAAATGAGAAGTGCGCAGTTAGGTATGATTCGACCAAGGGGGGAAGAATACAGAGTCTGCAGCCCTTCAGACAAACCCAAAGGCTGCAGCGTGCCTGTATCTACTCAAACAGGGTGAAGCGATTACAGCCACTTACTCAGAGCCTGTAAAATGTTACCAAGCAGGCTCAGCCGTGTTTTGGGAATACTAATGATTCGTCTAAATTCTACCAATACAAACAATTAAAATGCTTGACAGAGGAATGTTAACATTCCTTGTGGGGAAGCTGAGGCACAGAGAGGCAGAAGGACCTGCAGAATATCTGAACTTCATTAGAACACATGCTCTGCCTGCAACTAACCATGAAGCCTTACTTTCCTTAAAATTATAAGATTATTCCTCGTGCAAGGCAATTCACAGGGGTAGTTGGAAATCAGATCCTGCTGTGAGGATCTTCTTGAGCTGAATTCCTCCAGGTTCCACATTGCTGTCCTGGCAGAAGGCTGCATTTTTTTGACCCATGCTTCATGTAAAGAAATTACCCTCCACCTCTCTCTCTGCCCTCTCCTCTCAATAGCTTGTTTTCAGGTTAGTCATTTTCTCGCCTGTACCTGTTGATTTGACTGACATCAACATATAAGCACACATATCCAGTGGAAGGGCAAATGAGGAAAACTTTGCTTGACAGTTTTGCTCACAGCTTGTTGCTATGAATCAGAAGAAAATCCCAGCCTCAATCCTCATTAAACCACCAGGTTTTTTGGTTTGGGTTTTTTTTTTCCTTCCCCTCCCCTGGCAGAGGATGCTCAAGTATTTGCAATAAACATGAGTTTTCTCATATAGCTATTAACCTGCTTAAAGATTAACAAAGAGGCTCAAGGATTAAACACCAGTGGGAAAAAATACACTGATAATCCTTCTCTTTGGAAGAGTGGTGGGGTATTTTTCTATTATCCATGAATCACCATATCAGGGTGCCCTTTGTTTACCCAGTCAGGGGAAGGCAAGGAAAACAAGGTATACAAATGCTTCTCTAAAGAGATTAGAGGCCTCAGCACAAAAGGGAAGAACAAAAACATCAAGATGAAAGGTAAGTGATGGGGAGAGATGTATACTGCTCTTTTTTAACACTGGTGTAAATCAGAAGCAACTGCAGATACCGATAAGAGTGACACCCCTGCAGGAACAGTTTGAGGCTGGGGGGAAGCTGCCAAGTGAATGTGTACACCATCTGCTCAACATCAAGTCATGTCTCACCTGGATACAAACCACCCAGGAGTGCAGTTTACAGGCACGGATTAAGAGTCCTTTTTAGGTTCACTGAGGGCAGTCTGCATTCATCATTGTTTGGCTCCTTTTTCTAAAGCTGTGACCGAGTCAGCTATCAAGAGCAAATATCCCAGTCAGCTTGTGCGTGCATGTTCCTGCTTCCCCCGTGCTGGCTTGAGTTTCCCCAGCATATGAGAGCAGTTCTGGGGACTGGAATAGGTCTGCAAGCGACAGATGTGTTCAGAGAAGAGTCCTGTTTCTCCTTTCTCTAACTAGACACAAAGCAGACTATAACAACACCAATGGCAGCCACAGCCTCCCTAGATACTGAAGCAGAGCTCAGCAAAGGCATCTTCCTAGCACCACCAGCCTGCAAAATGATTGACACTGCCCTAATTCTTGCCCAAGACATACATGCCCACCATCTGAATATTGATATTGAAGCATGACCATCAGTTCAATTAACCTGCTCCTGATGCAGTACAAATGCACTACTTTGTCAGACTCTTTAACAGGTTGTATCCAAAGGTCCCAAACCAACACCCTACGCTGAGTCTGGATTTTATGGAGAAAATAATACCAGCTTCCAAACTTCAGAGACTGAAAACCTAGGAAACCTCACCATCTCCACACTGCATATGGAAGATGCTTTGCCTAGCTAACAGCAGCAGATCTGCCAGGGTTCAGCTCTCCCCTGGCTTGTAGCTTTGTTGACTACTTGGTATCTCAGTCCTGTCCTCTCTTTGCTATTCAGGAACTCGAGGAGTTGCTGACAGAAATTAAGGACATTTCTGTTGTACTGGGAATTGACAATGCATGCAAACTTGATCTGAGCAGAATTGTGGAAGAAGTGAGGGCCCAGTATGAAGCGCTGGCTCTCCGGAGCTGGGAAGAAGCTGAAGCACTTACCAGGAGAAAGGTATTTGTCTCCTTATCTGATTGATACTGGGGAGAGGCAGGGAAAGAAGAGGGAGAGAGATCAGCCTAGAAACTACAGGAATCAGCAAGATGTGGAGGGACACACTACACCTGGGAATGGAGGGAGGGACAGGGTGCTAACCCACATCAACTCCTCCTAACTCAGGTGTGTAAATTAGTAGTTTCATTGCTCTAGGCTCTCAATACTGTCAGTGGAGAAAGGCAAGGACATCTCCCAGTGGCAGCTTGTCCCACCTAAGATGCAAATGACCTTCCACTGGTGTCTCCTCCAAAGAGAGGAAGAATGTGATTAACCCCAAGAGAGACTTGCTCTATACCTGGCACAGCTACAGCCAGAAGAAGATATGAGAATGAGCCCCCAGTCCTTCTACACACCCACTGTTTTTCCCCAGTTGGGCACTTCTCCCCAAGGGCAGTGGGAATCCTCCCAGATTCCGTTGCTACAGCAGAGGAGGCATGCAGATAACCCACTCTTCCATCTCTCCTGCAGCTGAATGAAGGAAGCACCCAGTCAGGCACTTATGGGGGTCACCTCCTTGACAGCCGACGGGAGATCGCAGACCTAAACATACAGATCCAGAAGCTGAGGTCCTGCATCGTGTCCCAAAAGAGCCAGGTGTGTCCTGGGGTGGGGGACAAAACTCTGACATACAGGTCTGAAATTACAACATACCTAACGCCTCCACCACCCTTTTCCCTTTGCAACACCAGTGCCTGTACTTAGAGGAGCATATCAAAGAAGCAGGAGAGCATGGCGAGATGGCCCTCAAGGATGCCAAAGCCAAACTGGTCAAGCTAGAAGAAGCCCTACAGAAGAGCAAGGAGGATATGGCTCATCTGGTGAAAGAGTATCAGGAGCTGATGAACATCAAGCTGGCACTGGATGTGGAGATCCTCACTTACAGGAAGCTGATGGAAGGGGAGGAGAGCAGGTAAGCTGCACATCCTTGTGCCTGAAGAGGGGAAGGGATGCACCCAAACACCTAGGGAGAAAGCAGACATCCCAAGCTTTGAGTCTGGTATTGAAGGTTTGATCAAAGAAAGAACAAATTCCAGCATTCCCCATAGAGTTCAGCCCTGTTTCTGGCTCTGCAGTTTTCCTTAGACTCCCCACACTGGACAGGTTCCAGCACTTCTCTAGATGATGCTTTGCGCAGATGCTGCTGAGTTAGCCTTCATGATCCAACCATGCACTTGGCTCTGCCCACATAGCTCAGCTCAAATGGGCCAAACTCCAGTCCTCTACATCTCTTTGGCACTGCAGAGGTTAGTATGTGTCCTCACACTCTGTCCTTGCGTTCACAGCATGGAGCAACCAACACCCACAGTCATCAGCACCGTCCACTCCAGACCAAAGCACCGTAAGTGGCTTTATTCATACAACTTGGTAAAGCAGAGTGTGAATAAAACATTTCTAACCTCCCCCAACCCCTGCAGTTTCTGCCAGCACCCTGAGAAACTCCAAGCTGTTTGCAAGAGGAACAGGCAGCACCAATGGTGAGATGAAGCCAAATGGAGGCAGCACAAAGATACTGCTCTCTAGAAGCCACAGTGACAACTCAGCAACACCTGCAGATGCCTTCATCAGCGGTGCCCGGCCAAAGCTCAGTTCCCTGTCCACAGAAGAATGCTAGGAGAAACAGAGCCCCACTGCATAAACACAAGATCCATTGGCATCTGTAGCCAAATGAGGCCAAAGCACTTTCTCCTGAACTCAAGCCAATGTCCAGGGGACAAAGGATAAGAATCCACTCCAGGCTGTCTCTTTTAAGTTTGTCTTTACAACATCCCAGTTAACATCTCTGTTACCAGTTACGAGCAGAAACCGACCCAGGATTTTAGAGACTCTCCCATTCAGATACCACACCAACATCTTCCTCTCTGTTTCCCCAGAGGACTTGCATTCACAACCTTCAAGATCTACCTATAGGCAATTTGGCAGGAGGGGAAAGTATTATTACACAAGCTTTTAACACAGCAGCCAGAAGCCATCAGCCCAGCCATATTACTAGTATTACAAAATCATTCTCTCTGCTCTGTCCCTGCTCTACGCATGTCTGTAAGAGGTGTTCACTGATGTGGCTTTCAGAAGAAGGCAGCATCGAGCTTTCCAAACTGAACTGATGGGGAGATGCAGGTAAACAATCTGAGCCAGATGGATTTGCGACATCTGGATTTGCATATCTGGTGACAAACATGCTGGCTGTACCAGGAAGGGGATCCTTGGCCACTTCAGAGCATTTAACTGACTTTACTGCCTTTTGGGTGGCCCCTCATTCCTTCCCATGCCACCAAAGCTAAAATTCCTCAAAACTTGTATTTTCATAAGCCACCTCTCTCTAACAGAGAGCATCTCTGCCCATCTCACCTAAAGACATTCCAGACTCCACACACTGTGGTGCTAGGTCCTAAAAATGGGATACAACAAGCAGGACTTGTCTTTGTATTTATTGAACTTACCTAGCAGCTTTTACCTTACCTGGCTGACACCAGCCAGTGCACACCAGTCATGTTGCACCAAAGCTACTAGAGCCAACTCTGTAGGTGCCACATCCCCCTGCGAGCAAGGTGGGGGAGGGAGATGTTCTGGCCTCAACACAGACATTTCTGTGGCCCTCTTGCACAACCTAACATAGGCAGTGCCCTGCAGTATCTTCCTTTATAAGGCCAGGCTCTGGCCTCACCCATTGCCATGCAGCCCCTCTTGAGTTCCCAGGAGGAGTTGTTAATAGTCTCTTGGCATATTTCTGTTGAGTGCATCACAGTATTTCCACACTTCTGTAGGACAGACAACTACTGTAGCGTCCATGTAACTGAACACTGGCTCTCCTGGGTTATGGCTGTTATAATAAAGTATTGTGTGTCACACAGAACGCATTGTGCTGTTGGTTTTCTCCAAGTTTCTTACCATGTCCCACCTGAAACAGCAATTCCTTCCCCAGATGCCAGCAGGTCTCAGCTGAGGGCTCTGACTAAATTCTGGCAGCCAAATGAAGCTGAAATTGCTTCCCAGGTAATTTGTTCAGTCCACATCCCCAGGAAGAAGTACGCAGGGCTGGATGGGCAGACGCAGTGCCAGCAGCCAAGGCTTTGGGGAGCTCACCGCTGTTCTGCCAACAGGCTCCCACCTGGCTTTGAATCACAGAGCAGCTCAAGCATGTTTCAGGAGATGAAGAGTTATTGCACAGGCCACCACACTCTCACCACTGTACTCATCTACACAAAGCTTCCTCTTGCTAAACTCCCCCTGTGCCTCTGCAAAGGGGAATTTCTGTGCACCTGGGACCCAAATCTGTCCTGGGGAACCACAGTTCCATACAGCATCTCTTTTCAGAGGTGTCCTTCCAGAGCACAGGGGTTTTCTTGGTGCTCCTTGCTCAAAAACACCCTCCTCTAAGGGACTTCCTTGGGAGATCCAAAACAGACAAGGCCCCCAGAGGTGCCAGGGGACTGGAGATGGGGAGCATCTCTGCCCACCTGAGAGAAACACTGCACTTTCAATGTCAGCTCAAAGGGTACAGGGGCAGAGGAGGGGAGGACAGTCCAGACCAGCTGAAAGAGCCCACAGCTGTTAAATCTGGTGTCTCAAACCAGCAGGGATGGGAAAAGGGGGAGCTTTGAGTTAGCTCCCAGTCATACAAGCCATTCCTAGCTCAGAAGGAGACAGCACTTTTGTGGAGAGCTTCCCGTGGAGGCAGGACCCAGCTGAGCCCTTCAATAAAAGCCCTTCCAGCTGGAGGAACAATGCTGGGTTTGTGCAAGGCTGCACGACACCAAAGGTGCATGAGGCCCAGAAGATGAATGACTGCTCTGAATAGCCTGGCATCCTTGGGGGAGTGGAGGGCTGAGGCTCTGTGAGCAAGGGGGGAAGGAGAAACACAGAGCTAGTGTTGCCCTGAATGAAACCTCAATGGAAAGGGAGGGTTTGGGAGCCCTGGAAATTCAACCGGGGGAACTGGAGGAGAGGGTGGTAAGAGAGATGTGTGCTTGCAGCCACGCTGGAAAGGGCAGGGGCTCAACAGCAGCCCAGTCCTGCAAGAGGAATTTCTAGCTGTTTTCCCTCCCTGCCGTATAGGTTTTGGGTTTTTTTTTTTTATCTGGTTCTGAGCCTTCACCACCCAGGGGACTGGGAGAGAGCCCTGAGGCCAGAGCAGGGCACTAGGAAGCTGGACTCCTGGGTTCAGTTCACTGTTCTAGGACCCAGGAGAGAAGGACCCAACTAACTACTTCACTGCTCTGTGCCTCGGTTTCCCCACTGACAACTGGAAAGTGTATATCAAGCCACATCATACCAGGGCAATTATTTTATGCAGCAGAATAATTCCAGCACTCCATTGATGGGAGCTGAGCTACACCTGAGATAGTCACATTGCTTTAGGACACCCATATCTGCCCATGCACCCATCCTTCCCCCTCTACCATACTACCCCTTAAGCACTGACTTCATTTGAAGGACCAGCCCCTTCCTCGGGGCTAATTTCTGTAGCTCTTCTTACACCAGAGACACAGCCAGCCCTAAACCCAGCTGTTAAATTCACTGGGGAAGTTCTGTATCTTTTGGATTTGTCCGGTGAAGGGCTTCACACCCCTTGCCCCCTTAAGAAATACCAGGCAGTGCCATCAACTCAGGATCTCAGAATCCCCTTTGGGGAGCTGTGGGACAGTCCTACACGGGCAAGGATGCCAAGCCAGCAGTAATCAACAGAGCTGCCAACAGTTTAGCTGCTGCTAAGGCGGTCAGTAGAATAAAGCCAAGCTCATCCACGTTATCTGGTGAGCTACACCTGTGCAATCCAAAGCAGAGCCATCTCCAGGTAAAGCTGTATCAGTTTCAGCTGCAAGAGGCTTCCCAAAGATGATCTCAAACCCCGTCTGGAGCCAAAGATTGGCACATCTGCCCAAGCGTGGGGAAAGGAGACATCAGATGTCCAGGACATGGCCCAGTTGTGAGACAAAGCCCAGGGGCAAAACTCAGTGACAGATAAATCCATGTGCTGAAAGCAGGGGGCAGAGCTGATTTTGGTGGGGCAGACTCTGGCAGGGAAGATCACCAGGGAAATATTCACATCTGCACAACAGCAACTGGGCTGGAGTCCAGAAGACAAGCCAGAGCAGACACAGGGAAGCAGCAGGGCTCCTCTGCTGTCTTCCAAGCAGGGAGAGTCTGAGCCCCAGACCACATCTAAGGGCACCACATACCTGGGCTGCTGCCTCCTGGGGTGGAGAGCACCCAAGTGTGAGCTCCAGGCTCCCTCTCCTGGGCAGGTCACACCATTGCAGATGCCTCCAAAGAGGAGGCTCAGTGGCCTCCACAAGCCCTGGATCCCATAAGCTGCCACATCCCAAACAACCCCCTCCTTCCTTCCAGCAAGCCCAGCCTCCCAGGAGAACGGGAAAACAGCTCCCGGGCACCAAGAAAGAGAACACCAAAGCATGGTCAAGATCTTTCCCTGGATGCTTCAAGAGAGTAGAACAGTGACTACAAAGGTAGACTGAGACACAGAGGTTTGCCTGATCCTAAAGTGTGTTCCTCACCCACCAAAAACTCACATCCTGGTGGAAATCATGCCTGTAACCCCACCTGGCTGGCCCAGATTCGTTTCACCGCACACTGAGATCTCATTCCTTCATAGCCCACACACTTTCGAATCAGTCTAGGGATCTGCTTGGGGAAGGCAAATCAGTTCCCAGCAGCGTTACCAAGAGTGAGAAACACCTCCCTCGATCAGATCCCACCAGTCCAGGGAATGGACCTGTTACATTCCCCTCCTTGGTGTCTGGCTTTGGTGAGTAACTTCGAGAGCTCTGGCTGGGGCCTGTGCTGCCAGCCCCACTCTGAAAAAAGGCCATGGACCCTTTCTAACCTGCAGACACACACCACTTTTTTTGTCCTTTTAGGGCTAAATCCTGCAAGAAAACACTAAAAATAACTTTACAGAAGAGACAAACCACATTTTCCTTTGGAAACTCAGCTTTCGGCCCATCTGCTCCCCATGAAACAGCTATCCAGCTGCATGTGGGAGCACTTCTGGTTCTTCTCCCACCTCTCCTTTCCCTCCAGATGTAGGGATGCTCCTTTGGGCAGAAGCCCACCAGGCTCCCATTAAAACAGGCCACGGAACTGGTCTCAGTGCAGACAGCCTAGCTTCTAGTCCTCCCCAGGGCACTGAGCAGCCAGGCTCACGGAGACAAGTAAATTTAGACTGGGGAAATCTGCCTCAAACTGAGTTCATGCTCTGTACCGGAGGGGGCGGGGGGGAAATCCCTCCACATGTTCCATGTTGTTAAATGTGTGGGAAGTGAGATGGAAATGTGTTCCTGGGGTGGAGAAAGGATGGCCTAGAGCTCTAGAGACTTTCCACTACACTAGTCCCACTGAGTGCAATTGCACTCTTCCAAAAATACCCCCAAGCCCACTCCAATTTCCAACCCAGTTTAATCTGCCAAGTTCCACTTCACCCCCAGCTGCTCCCCCTGGTTCCAGCCTATGTCTGGAGCAACTCCAAGAGACAGGGCACAAGACAGAAGGAGAAAGACGGATCCTCCAGGCTCATCTCCCAGGCCTGCTGCCTGGTACAGCAGTTTCCAGGGATCGAAGCAGATCGAAGCAGCTCACCCCAAGAAATCAGCCATT